CCTTAATTTAATAGATTGTGTCATTTTAGTCCAATAAATAACGGTTGTTAACTTAATTTAACGGAAAGTCAAAATATGTGTTAATTTGGTCCCTGTATTTTTCACAATATATCAATTTGGTCCTTGTCAAAATCGAGAAAATTGAAACTATAGGGACCAAATTAACACATCATGTAAAATACAGGGACCGAATTGACACATTATTTGACCTTCCGTTAAATTAATTTAACAATCGTTATTTATTGGACTAAAATGACACAATCTGTTAAATGAAAGGGCAAAATCAAGCAAATTGAAACTACAGGGACCAAATTGACACATCGTGCAAAGTACAGGGATTATTTGCATAATTTACCCTTTTTCTTTTCTTTCTTTCTTTTAAGGTGCCGTGAGAAGCAGAAGAAAAAGGATACCAACATTCGGTTAGTGAACAAGAAGTTGACTGCGGCAAACAAGCTCTTGAAGGAAGAGCATGATTGCCTTCAGAAACAGGTTTCGCATATGGTATACGAGAATGAATACATGTGGCAGAAACTAAAAAATGTATGTTCAAATCATTACATGCTTCAACTATTGATATTTTGGGTAATTTATTGTTATTGCTTTCATTTCCTTTTCATTTTAGTTTTTCCCCAGGATTTAATGGTTTTGAATATTACTCAGATTCCTATTTGATCTACTAAACCATATTATTGTTTATTTTTGTCCAATTCATCAACTTTTACTTTTTGAGAGTATTAGCATATAAACTGACTGGGAAACCTTAATAGATATCATACTTCCATAGGCATCTAAAATAATATATATGTTAACAAATTTTTTGTGTGTTGTTTCCTAAAATATTTTTTCCAAATACCTTTATGGAATTGATTTAGTTTTTATTTTTTTATGCAATTAAAATTATAAAATAAGAGCTGCCTGATTTGGGGAAATGACACTTCCAATACAACTCTTTTTTTCTCTTTTTTCTTTTTTTGTGCTTTTGTGGATCATGGCATGTTCATATTATTGTCTGCCACCTCATAGCTGCAGCATGAGATAAAATCATAAAATATCCACATACATGGATTTATGGACCATCCCTTATGGACACATACATGCATGGGGTAATAGATGCTAGACAACTTAGTAAGCATGATTGAATCACCATAATTTTAAGAAGTACGTTTTTATCAATATTCTATATATATTGGTGCTAGTAGTCATTTGGAGTAGTTCCATTGCTTGACTAATCTGTCAATTGAGATGCAAGAAATACCTTAAACTAAGATATGTTGGATAGTTTAAAGTCAGAATTTCTTTGAAGGTGTAGGAATTACCTTTCTTTAATAATTTATAAAGACACAATTTGTTGGAAGTTAACATGTTTAATTTGATTACGATGTCATAGAGATAAAACATTGTGATTCACATCCTAGTATCCATGTTTGAATAAAATCCCAAAGTAATAAGCTGGCATCATACACGCTGTTCACACTTTTTGTGAATTCAATTGTCATCGTGTGATGTTTTTTTTTTTTTTTTTTGGTCATCATGTGATGTGATAATACTAGCATGGTTAATGCACTTTGATTAGGATTTCATATATTTTCTTTGTGTCAAAGTTTGAGAAGGACATTTTTATGGTGCCTTTTTTCTTTTTCATTTTTTATACTGAGAATTTTGGGCTTAATTAATAAAAATCTTCTATGTCTTTTGAAAAGGAAAAATTCTGTTTAATACAGAATACAACTTGAGTGTTTCACATATATATTTTCATTTAAGAGAAATGGTTTAATTGCAATAAGCAATTATAATTGGGAAACTGATCCATTCGTTGAATTTAACATATGTTTGCTTGATTTTTAACAACTTTGTTTATCACTGATCTTGCACATTTGCAAAGTAATGGCACAAAATGAATTTTCTTCAGCTAGGTTTTGAGATGAAAATCAAGAATATGTTAGTGTTGGTTGCTTATATTATATGATACCCCTTCTTTCCAAATTGTACTATGAAATAGTACAATATTTTAGAAAAGTGAGTTAAATATATGCATGCCTTTTGAGAGTTGGCATGGTCTGTATGCTCAAGCTGTAACTCCAAAAGCAAATTTGATTTGGAGATATGGAGAATTTTTTTGAACTTTTTTTTCCTCTGATGTCAACTTGAGAAAGCAAATTCCAATTACTTGGGGTTACATGTATCCTATTTTACATGTAGCTATATATGGAGGGATATTCTCTTCCACTTCTTGATCGTCATGTTTTGCATTACCTTGTCATCAATCTTCTTTCTTCTTGCCCTTGGTGCCTTAAATTTGAATGAAATCACTCTTCCTTCTTGTTCATCTCCAATGATCATAACTGAAATAAACCATTTCAGACAACATTTTCTTATTTTGTTCTCGATTGGCACCAGTTTTTACTTCTCATAGATGCATTTCTTACAACTTAGTCTTTCTATTCCTACATCATTTTATTTTGATGAGTTGATTCCAAGTAAGCTTCGTAATTCTTTTCCATTTCTATTTAATGTTGGCCATCATTCTTGTTGTACAACAGCATTCTGAGTTTATATGCTTAAATTTTTGAAAACTTAGCTGTATGACTTAAATTTTTGTACTGTTCTCACCCCTTTCCCTTCTTTCGCAGGAGGAAATTGTTCAGTGTTGATATTTTAGTGGCTTTTTTCAAAGTGCTTTTTTGGGAAAAAGAAATTGAACTCATGCTTTATTCACACCAACTGCATAATCTTGTGAATCAATTTCAGACGAAATGCAAGACAACGACGCATTTTTGTATTTTTAGAGAGATTAATGCACCCTTGATTTGAATCAGTTCCTCGTGAAATTATTCCTTAGGCTTTATCACATTTTTGTTTAATCTGCTGACGATGATTTTTGATGCAGGAATCTCCAGCTACTACCGACACAAGTTGTGAGTTTGCAATCAACTCTCCTCAACACTCTTTGAGGGCTGCTAATGATCCTAAGGCGTGACTCCAAATTCTGAGATTTCTGTTGAATTAAGAACATTTAGGAGTCTTAAATAGTCAATCAGATTTGAACCTATTGTAAGGTCTCTAAGTGTCCTTCTTTATCGTTTGTCTTCTTCTGCAATCAAGTGTAGCAAAGCAAACTTTTTTTTCCTTTAATAGTTGGAAATTGTGGAAGGATTGATCTTATATGGGCATTAAAGTAGTGTCAGTATACGTGTACGTGTCGAAAAATGCTCAACTCTAAATTGCTAATTTTATGTACGATTCAAGTTGTATTATCATGTTGTGTAGTATATACCACATGATTAGTTTTTGTGATGTGTATTGGAATGGAAATTGTTTCCTTGAAAAAAAATCATGAATTCTTTTTAAAATTAAAATAACAGAACTAAATTTTTCATTATTGAATTTCTTATGTTGGAATATTTAAGTAGCGAATTTGTAAAATTCAAAATTTATTTAAGATTACATTAAAAACTAACTTCCATTGAGCAGATCTATCAGTGATAAATCAAGTCACTCTTACGTAGTGTAAATGAGTGTGTCTTCAAAAAGTGTTTTGTGATTGTTACATTAAAAACTAACTTCCATTGAGCAGATCTATCAGTGATAAATCAAGTCACTCTTACGTTGTGTAAATGAGTGTCTTCAAAAACTAACAATATTCAACAACCCCCCCAAAAAAAAACAAAAAACAAAAAACAAAGCTTAGGAAAACAAGAAGAACTTTTTTTATTTTTTTTATTTTTTTTTATTTTTATAAACACACAAAATAAATATGCATCATTAATTTCCTTTGTCTTTAAAAACCCTAGATCTAATTCTAAGCCCAACAGTGGCACATAAAACTCTGGATGAATTATACTAATAGACTCTGCACTTTGAGACTTGTGTCACTTTGATTTTTGACATTTTAATTATGATATATTTGATTTTAAATTTTGAATATCGTTTTAAATAAGGACAATTGAAGACACAATTTCATTCTAAAAAAAAAGAAAAAAATACTCTATTTCAAGGGTAAAATCATCAATTTAATAAAATATAAACTTGTTTGACAAAAATAAATGTCAAAAAGTTATTTTTTAATTTTTAAAAATTATTTCTACCCACCAAAGATAAAATTATATAAAAACGATAAATCTTTTACATTTTTTATATTTTTATTTTTTTACCAAATTAATTTTTAGTGTTTTTGGATGATGATCATATAATTGTTTTTGTTGATGTTTTTGGATAATTATCATATAATCGATGATTGTTTTTGTTAACAGATATTTTGGGATGATTATGAAATTTTTAATGTATAATTGATATGTTTAATATATGAAATATTTTTAATTTAATTTTTTTTGATTTAATAGATCGATTTAATAATAATAGAAAAATTTGTCGTCATGTTTGACTTTTGAAAAAATGAAAACCAATTTAACAAAAAAAATTATTTAAAAAAATTATTTCTACCCTATCAAAAGATAAAATTATATAAAAATAATGTTTTTAATTTTTTTCACCAATTTAATTTTTAGTTTCTCAGAAATTTTTTCTAAAAATAGATTCTAAAAACCAAATCAAACAAAATTTTATAATAAAAAGTACCAGTATTATTCATTAAAAATAAGATCATTACATTTCAAACAACATACAAGTTAATTAATACAAAATAAATTGTATGACAATTTTGCCCTTAAAATTGACCGTTTGCAAAAGAAACATTTTTGATTGTCCTTGTTCAAAACAAAATTTAAAATTTAAGATCAAATGTATTACAATTAAAAAATTTGATACTAAAGTAAAGCAAATCCCAAATTAAGGGGCTGTTAGTGTAATGCACACTACAACTTTCAGACAACTCAGATTTGTTTTATTTTGAATAGTTATAAACAACTTTCTTTATTCAAATTAGAATTTTTTGATTCCCTGAGAAATAAACTAGAGTTTTCCGATTTTCCGGACATGTTCAACAAAGCAGAGAGAAACCTCAAGTAAATCTGTGCATCAAAAAACTCATACATACGCATGAGAGAGAGAGAGAGAGAAATTACACCAAACAGTGCTCAGAGGGAGGGATATGTAATCAGGTTGGAACTAGATTGTAAGCCATATAATCATTCTTCAGGCTCTCATTACAAACAATGGACAATAAGCACGATAAATATTACACCATATCGAAGTTCTGCACCCTATCAATGAAGTTGACTAGGGTGGGGGCATAAAACAGATGTCAAGTGAGGGGGGAAAAAAGATTAATCATGTACCAAAAACCCGCTTCAAATGTCATTTTGAATCTATCGCATTGAAGCCAGAGACCAGAAATTCAAGAGAAAGGATGGTGAAATGGCAAACCAGCTCATGAAGGCCATGGCTGTAGCTGTCTCAAACCTAGTACAATGATTTTCTTCACAATTGTTGAAATCATTGCTAACAAGGACTGTTATACCAGCAGCTGCAGATGCTGCAGCAAAAGTAAGCGTTGATGTGATCTGCAGATGCAAAGAAAGAAGCCCATTATTTTAATTCCGCAAATATAAGGAAGTGCAGTTCATTCTAATGGAGATGATGCAATTAATCAGTGAGCATTACCTGCATATGGACCTAACCTTTGCATTATTTGCAAAAAAACTGACTGCTCAATGATTCAAATCCAACATACTTATGCTTTGCAGCCAGACATTTTACCATTACACAAAGCAATGCTCCTTTGTGCATGAAATCAGCAAACATAAATGAACAGGACTAGTTTTCATGAAAAGGGAGGTAAAAGAATATGAAATTAGTCTTGCTTATTGTTTAGAGATGCTATATAGAATCAAACAATCAGCAAATCAACTTGCTTTGATTGTTTCCCCACTACTAGAAAAGCTATATATGGAATAATAATAATAATAAATATATAATAAAAAAAAAACTTAAAATACACGTATTCAACACTGTCTAGTGAATAGCATTGGACAATCATGATTCATGATCCACTGGCTGAAAAATTACAGAATCGTAAATTAATCCTATTTTGAGTTCAAAACCTTTTGAACAGGTTCCTAGTTTGAGTGCCACTGCCATTCACACTTGCTATCCTTAAATTGATGGCTATAGTGATAATCCTTCTCCATCCTTGCCAATGCCAACATAAACTGAGGAGTACATAATGCAAGCAGTCCTACCACTCTTCCACTAGTTCAACTTGTTTATTTGAAAAAAGTGTCTACAAATTATGCATGGCACAAATTGAACTCGGGGTTGCTTCAAAATACTTAAACTCCAAAGATGCCATTATTTCTAGGGATAAACTTTGTTGGATATCATACATCTGAACTAGGTTCAAGTTTCCTGAGTAGGTTGAACTCCATCTTCACTTATTGCATTCCAAACCACTAACCTCCACCCTGCTTGCCAGTCTCCGATAAAATATTCAGGTTACCTACCATCGACTTTTTTTTCGACTTCTTATTGCAAGAACAGTTGTAAGTCGCGTGAGTAATACACCATTCATTTCCAACTTCATGTATGGACAAAGACTTCAATGTGCAAGCACATGTTTCTACATGATCTATGTCAGTGTTTTTTAAGGCGAAAAGTGAACCGAGGCGACAAGGTCTCCTAATGCCTAAGCGCGAGGCGATGAGGCGAGGCGAGGGCTTCATCGAATCGATGCGACCAGAAAAGATATTTTTTTAAAATAAATGGTATAGACAAAAATTAATTTTATCCAACAAGCAATTCAATTTTTCAGCATAAAGAAATTAAAGAACATATTTTAACAACATTAAAGAACATAAAGAAATTAAAATAGTTGAAATAAATTGAATTAAAATAATTAATTGAATAACCAGGAAATTAATTGAATTAAATTAATTGAATTAAAATAAACAAATTAATTGAATTAAACAAATTAATTGAATTAAAATAATTAATTGAATAACCAGGAAATTAATTGAATTAATTGAAATTTTAACACATAAGAAAAAAAATAATTGAATTAATTGAAAAAAAATTAATTTTAAAATAATTGAATTAATTTTAAAAATTAATTTTTACGAATTAATTTTTGCGAATTAAAAATTAATTTTAAAAATTAATTGAATTAATTTTAATAGGTTCGACAGAGCAGGTGAAGTCGAAGGGAAGCAGGTGAAGTCGAAGGGAAGAACAGGTGAAGTCGACAGTGAACAAAGGAGAAAGGAAGAAGAAGAAGAAAGGAAGAAGTAGGAACTCACCTTGGAACGACGTCCGAAGAAGGAACGAAGTCGACGAACGAAGACCCAGATGCTTCGACTTCGGAAGAAGAAGACCCAAAGACCCAGACGTCGACGAACGAAGTCGATCTAGGGTTTGGACTTTTTATTTAGTAATTAACTTTGTCGATGAAGGGCCCAGATGATTCGAACGAAGTCGATGAAGGGCCCAGATGATTCGAACTTAAATCAGGACAAAATCTGATGAAGCGTTGCTTCTCTTCGCCTCGCGCTTCATCGCCTAAGCCTCACTTCAGGCGCTTCTCCATCGCCTCACCATTTTGCCTCGCCTCAGGGTGTGTGAAGCGCTGAAGCCTCGCCTCGCTTAGCGCTTAGGCGAGCGCTTAGGCTCGCCTCTGATAACACTGATCTATGTGTCATCACATTAGCTTTCACATTTCCCATTTCTCCCTTGCTTCACACTTCTAGATAAAAAAATCCATGGAGCTGAATACTAGTGGACTGATTCAGTTAAATCAACTCATGCAGAGGTAGTAGCTATGGAACAACTACTTGGAAATTGGAAGTAGAACTTCTATTAAGGATCATTTTTTGTTCATAATACACAGTCCTAGTACAAGAAAAACTTTCACCTTAAACAATTCCCATGGTAAGGAGAATCAAATCTGCTTGTAGATTAACCATGAAATATCCCACAAAAAAAGTACCAAGCACAAACTATGTTTCAGTACAAGCATAAAAGGGCCATTAATGTTGACTGCCTCTACCTCTCTCTCACCAACACAAACAAACACACACACGCATACAGACACGTGTTGAGAGAGAGAACAGTCTCTTGTGAGAATGCTAAAACATTGACTAACAAATTGTCAAGTCATGGGAGAACCACACTAAAAGCTCCAGGAGGCACAACTCATGTACACATGCCAAAAAAAGATGAAAAAAATATATAATTTATTTTTTTTAAATGAACCCATCGGACTCCCTACCACCACAAGGCGTCCTAAAAGAGAAAACCTGAAAGCAGCAAAACCAGCCATGAAAGCATCTCACTAACCCAAACAAGAGCACCTCCTTAAAACCTAACAGCCCCAAAACAGAAACTAAGCCAGTAAATCAACAGAATATGTGCTCTTCTAGGATTATCAGCATTATTCAACCACCTTCCAGATATCCTTTCCCCTGCTGTACGAAGAACACATTTTCCCCTCTTGCTTCTCCTCTCAAAGTTAATTGACCTGTACAAGTTTGAAGCTCTCTCACATTTGACTTAGAACACCAGAACAAGCCCTTCTTCCTATGGTCTTTCTTAACACTCTACCCTCTTTCAACCGTTGGGTTTATCGGCATAAACACCAAGTTGCTTTCCCCTTCCTTTGAATTATTTGAACAATTGGGTTCCGTACCATGTGACCTAACTACTCTTTTTTCTACTTGCCCTAAAATCAAGTGGAGGTCCAAGGCAACTTAAAGAATCGTTTTTGGCACTCAATGTGAGCCCCGCGTTAGAATCATAGCAAGAAGGCCCCCAATTTCTCACTTGACTCATTACCTTTCTCTATACTAATTGCAAGTACACAATATTACTAACAAAATCAAGTGAATTTATAATATGTCAAAACAGCCTCCAGTTGGATGCCATATCAACCCCAGAACTAGAATCATTACTCATGAATAAAGTGTCAATTATCTCATAAATAAAGAAAATGGCCAGGATAACCTAACAATAATCTCCAAGGGCTTGCAAGAATTGACATGGTACCCACCAAGATATGCTCACAATTTTGCTTGGACTCCTCAATAATGTTAAAAATTCTGCAACAAACACTTCCTTACCCCATCTCCAATAGTAAACAAGCTGATAACTTTGGAATTTCGCAGGCACCGCTTCACCAAGAGTGCATGTATATCAACAATGGTAAGCGAGAGACTCCACAAGCTTTGCAGGCCCACAGCTGCAACAAGGTAGCTGACACAAAAAAATACCAAAAAAAATATATTATTTGCAACAATCTTTTACAATTTACCACATTCAATTATTATAAATACATCCCATTGCCTCACCAAGCTTTTTAAATGAGAACCATACAGAACTAGACATTCAATTCTACAAAGTAATGGTGCCAAAGGACAGTAAAGTTCACAGATAATGTCTACAATAAGTTCTCTCTAAGAAACCAACCTAGCAATTCACAGACAGAATGTTAAGTAACTCTCATCGTAACAATAAATATATTTTCAGTTCTGATGCTCAAGTCTTGACAACAATTTGATTTCATGTTCAGCAATGGCTATGGCACAGGTTAATCAGGGCTCCTTCCAAGGTCCTACAGAAACAAGTTGAAAAATACTAAAATCAGGTCCAGACAAGCAATTTTGAAGCTGAATCAGATTAGGTTTGAGGCTTTGAGCATATTCTAAATCAGGGTGAGGTTCCCTTCGATCAGGTCAGCTTAATGGCAAGGGCTGTTGTCATCCCCATTCAAGCATAAAAGGCAGCAAAATTTATCATTCTTGTTTGAATTCAACCTACATCTGCTAATTCTCTTCAACACAGGCATAAAACTGCATTGTCACTGAAAGTCATACAATTTGTACTCTCAACAGACATGAATCTATTCTACAAAATGGATAATAAAACAATAGCTGTACTTTATGGTTCATTTTGTGCATATTAGGTCCCTGAAAAGTGACACTTCTCGGATTACCCAGATATGCTTGAAGAAATGTATAAGTATATTCTTGATTAAAGGAATGAGGTTACATAGTAGATGATATTTATATATATCCAACTCGACTAACTAGTCACTAAAACTAATCTAACCATATTCAGTTTACAGTAGAAATACTACTCTACACACAACACGCAGTACCTATTGTACACTAACATTTCCTCTCTTATTTACGTCATGTAAGTCTGTTCCTTATCAATGCTAACATAAAGCCACGTATGAACCTACTCTAAATAGATTTGGAAATGAGGTTTAACAGTTAACTTCCAATTATTTCATCTTGATATATTTCTTACAATTAACTAACATGGTCCAAAGACATCAAACCTATATGAAGAAACTATCATCAATTAAAATAACAATCAACTTACATAATTGTAATATCTAATCAAAGAATCCCCAATATGGTCCAAAACCACCAACATAAATCTTGCAACACCATCATGCAGGTTTGGAAGGAATTGAAGGTAACAAGAAAATATAACATGGCAGAAAATAAAGAAAAAAAAAAGTATATAAACAATAGGAATCAGTTAGATAGGAGACCAACAAATCCATAAGTCGTGACCACCAAACAGATTAAAATAACAATCAACTTACATAATTGTAATATCTAATCAAAGAATCCCCAATATGGTCCAAAACCACCAACACAAATCTTGCAACACCATCATGCAGGTTTGGAAGGAATTGAAGGTAACAAGAAAATATAAAATGGCAGAAAATAAAGAGAAAAAAAAAGTACATAAATAATAGGAATCAGTTAGATAGGAGACCAACAAATCCATAAGTCGTGACCACCAAAGAGCTGAAACAAAAGGTGTACCCCAATAGTGTAGTGAAAACAAAACAAGCAACAATTCAACAAATTTCACGCAATACTTGAAAATTATTCAGTACCCCCAGGGCATTACCATGGCATGTGCTTGTGCCATGGCGGTGCTCTTGACTAATGAGGTTGTGCAAATGGGGGGATGGATGTAACGTTAAAATTGGTTTCCTAATCTTTTGGATAATATCTCACATTATCAATATTTCCTACACTTCCTGATTTTTCTTATATTATTTTGTGTATATATATGACTTCATCATTTATTGAATAACAAAGAGATCAATATTCAGTCTTTCTTCACCTCTCCTACATTGTTCCTTTTATGAGTTCATTATATTGATTTTCTAACTAAGTGATGGACAATTTATGGTTCGTGAAATTTACTTCGCTGCACACAAGTGATTTTGAAGGTTGTTGTATCTTGGGGGAGGAACAACCTTCAGCTCAGTGCAAAAGATTGTGTATCATTCTACAGAGAACGCAGTTTACCTGCCTCAACCACAATACATGCTTTTCTAAACCTTTTTTCTAATAATATTTTTTTATTGTTAACAACTCCGTCGATCCCAAGCCCGGGTAAAGGAGGAGAGTTGTGTATTAGGTAGTCAATAACCAACACGTAAAAAAGCTGCTCGGATCCTTTATAAGCCGACCACATTTGATGGGACTTAAGGCTTTATTTGGTTTGGTTTGTTTTTATTTTTGGTCAATTAATAGTTTGATATTTTTATTCTGACAATAAATCCTGATCAATTTTTCCAATAGGATGGGGTTAACCTTGTCCTGCTCCACGTTAACCAAAGTAGTTCAAATAAACTCCACCATTTCGCAACTACTAGTTTGATTGGTGTGGGACTCTGTTATTATAAGAATCTTACGATTCACGATTTGATTTTACAAAATCAATATGAATCTATAGGTGAATCTATTTTGGAAATGAATCTCTAGTGGATCGCACGATTCACAATTGATTCACGGTTCGATTCACTTTTTACGATTCATGCAATTTTTAAAATTATTGTATTCGACATATTTTCGATTCTTTTTTTTTTCAATTTTTTTTAGTGAAGATGATATACTGCAACTTCGAATAGTGTTTAATATCAAAATAACCAACATATATATATATGATTTGTTGTTATTTTAGTGATCAACGAGTCTTTAATAGGATACAGTCATATTCAGTCAGACCCAACATATTTTTAACTTTTCTACCAATTTTTTTTCCTTTTAAAAAATCATAATATATCTTGTAAAGATGTTTAAGATTAAAGTTACACTATGAATTATCTATTACTATTTTATTAAATTGAATATAATTAAATATTACATGTGTAAGGTCAATTATAACTTTTAAAATATTTTAGGCTTTAAAATTAAAGATTCTAAATAATTCTTTCTTATTATTTGCTCACTGTTACTTAAAAAAGTATGTATGCTTATTGTCCAAATATCAATATCATTGTTAATTATTGTTATTTTAAAAATTGATAGTTTGTTTATTTAGTTATTATCTTTATTAAACATGGTCAATAAAAAATATCTATAAAAAAAAGAAGGTAAAATGGTGATCTAACATAGAAATTTTGTTCAACATTTTATCTATTAAACTACGTGATTATCATTCAAAATAACATTTTCAATAATTTAATATTCATAAGACATATTTAATATCTAAATCTAAATGTGTAAATATATGTGTTTTAAGTAATTTAGAAAAAGATTCACGATTCGATTCGATTCGATTCGTGATTCAGTACAAGACCATTTCAATTCATGATACGAATCCCGATTTGACACTATGTGTGGGAGTACGATATCATTATGCTCTATTGGTGCTTCGGGTACTTATGAACGATTAAGACTTCCAATCTCCATAGCTGCAAGTGTCATAAACTCTTGAAGAATTGAAGACCTTTAAGTTGTATTTTAATCACTAATTTAGGTAGTGATTTGCAAAATGAAATGGATTGGCGAGGGAGATGGAAAAAGAGAATGATGATGATAATGATGATGAATAATACAATACATTATACATACCGGAAGGCAGTGACAGAGGGGAAGTCGAAAGTGGTGGGCATGACGCAAAGGGAAAGAACAACGAAGACGAATTGAGAGAGACGCAAGGCGAGGCCGGCGGGAGTTCCAGGCATGCCTTGGATATCCTTCATCCTCACCCGAGGCCCAGCAGGGTTTCTGGCTATCACAGGAGGACCCTCCAATAGCTCCAATGGATGCACCGACGGGTGGCTCTGGCTCATCATCATCATACTCTACTCTACTCTTCTCTAGCCTAGTAGTATCTCTTTAATTTTTGTGTAATCGGAAGAATTTAATCTAATTGAATTGCATGAGTATGTATACTACAGAGATGGAATTATAGAGTAAAATCAGAGTCTAGGGCAACCAATGGAATGTATAATCGATCGATCGAGAGAGTGTGTGGAGGGGGTTGGGAAAGTCTACAGTCAACTTGAACTTAGGCCTTGTTCGGAAACAGGCTATTTTAATAACTTTTTGGCTTTTTGACTAAAATATGAGGTAAAAAAAACTAGTATATTTGGGATGACTTTTTGACTTTTTACGAAAAGATATGCAAAAAGTAGAGTGAAAATGAATATTTGACTTTTGGTATAAGTTGTTGACTTTTTGATTTTTTGATTTTTTTAGTAACTTTTTAGGTTTTAGGCTAAAAGTAGAGAGAAAAAGAAATCTTTGACTTTTTGAATTTTTGTGTATCATTCTAAAGAGAACGCAGTTTACGTGCCTCAACCACCATACATGCTTTTCTAAACCTTTTTTTTTAATAATATTTTTTATTGTTGTTTTCGGTCAATTAATAGTTTGATATTTTTATTCTGACAATAAATGCTGATTAATTTTTCCAACAGGATGGGGTTAACCTTGTACCGCACCGGGTTAACCTTGTCCTGCTCCTTGTTAACCAAAGTAGATCAAATCAACTCCACCGTTCTACAACTACTAGTTTTATTGGTGTGGGACTCTGTTATCATCAGAATCTTACGATTCACAATTTGATTCACATTTTTTGCAAAATCGATATGAATCTATACGTGAATTTATTTTGGAAATGAATCTCTAGTGAATCGCACGATTTACAATCGATTTACGATTCGATTCACTTTTTACGATTTATGCAATTTTTAAAATTATTGTGTCCGACATATTTTCGAATTTTTTTCCCCATCTTTTTAGTGAAAATGATATAATACAACTTCTAATAGTGTTTAATACCAAAATAACCAACATATATACATGATTTGCTGTTATTTTAGTGATTAATGAGTTTTAATAGGATTCAATCAGACTCAGTTAGACCCAATATTTTTCACCTTTCTTTCCATTTTTTTTCCTTTAAAAAAATCATAATATATCTTATAAAGATATTTAAGATTAAAGTTACACTATGAATTATCTATTACTATTTTATTAAATTAAATATAATTGAATATTACATGTGTGAGGTCAGTTATACTTTTTTAAATGTTTTAGATTTTAAAATAAAAGATTCTAAATAATTCTTTCTTATTATTTGTGCACTGTTCCTTAAAAAAGTATGTATGCTTATTGTCCAAATATTAATATTGTTGTCAATTACTATTATTTTAGAAATTAATAATTTGTGTATTTGGTTATTACCTTTATTAAGAATGGTTGATAAAAAAATCTCAAAAAGAAAAAAAAGTAAAATGGTGATCTTACATAGGAATTTTTGTTAACTTCTTATCTATTAAACTACATGATTATCAATCAAAATAACATTTTCAATGATTTAAGTCTAAATATTTCATATTCATAAAATATATTTAATATCTAAATCTAAATGTGATATATATTTTAAAATAATTTAGAAAAAGTGACCGAATCTTTATGATTCGGTACGAGGCCCTTTTGATTTGCGATACGAATCTCAATTTGACAACTATGTGTGGGAGTATGATATCATTATGTTCTATTGGTGATCCGGGTACTTATGAACGATTGAGACTTCCCAATCTCCATAGCTTCAAGTGTCACAAACTCTTGAAGAATTGAAGACCTTTAAGCTGTATTTTGATCACTGATTTAGGTAGTGATTTGCAAAATGAAATGGAAAGGTGAGGGAGATGGAAAAAAGAAAAATTTAACTTCATTCACATTTCCCTTACATATTTCTTTCACTACCCAAATCCATGGCAGCCACAAACAGCCCTAAGAAAATGATTTCAGTCCAAAGCATCAGTTGCATGAAGTTTCTGACACCGAACTCAGTACAATTATGCCCGTCCGTTGTTAAATTTTAGCAACCATTGCAATGAATTCCAAAGGATTCCATATGTGATGCTTCTTTACTAATGGGACAAATCTAAAAGGGCACCACAAAAAAAAAATAAAAATAAAATGCAGACAGCAACATCTAAACAGGATCCATGAATAGGATTAGCAATGTGGAGAAGCAAATGCAAGCATAAAGCAATTGATAGATAAATCATCAAACAATGATAGAGTGAGTTTATATTATATATGCAGAGACAAGACAAGACAAGATATAAAAAGAGAATAATGATGATGAATAATAGAATACATTATACATACCGGAAGGCAGTGACGGAGGGGAAGTCGGAAGTGGTGGACATGACGCAAAGGGAAAGAACAGCGAAGACGAATTGAGAGAGACGCAAGGCGAGGCCGGCGGGAGTTCCAGGCATGCCTTGGATATCCTTCATCCTCACCCGAGGCCCAGCAGGGTTGCCGGCTGTCACCGGAGGACCCTCCAATAGCTCCAATGGGTGCACCGACGGGTGGCTCTGGCTCATCATCATCATACTCTACTCTACTCTTCTCTTCTCTTCTCTGGCCTAGTAGTATATCTTTAATTTTTGTGTAATCGGAAGAATTTAATCTAATTGAATTGCATGAGTATGTATACTACAGAGATGGAATTGCAGAGTAAAATCAGAGTCTAGGGCAACCAATGGGAAGTATAATCGATCGATCGAGAGAGTGTGTGTAGAGGGGGTTGGGAAAGTCTACAGTCAACTTGAACTGACGAACAGGATCGATTATTGAAATCTGCTATTTTGGTATTTTTAATCTAAATTATTTATTTATTTTCGTTAAATAAATTAATTCAGAAAAAATAATGTGTTAATTATTAAAATAATTAAAAAAATATATATTTTATATTGAGTTTAATAATTAAAATATTTTTTTTATCAATTTTATTTAATAAAAATAGATTAATGACATAAATTAAAATTAATAAATTAAAATTTTATTTTATTATACATTATCAAATTTTGAATGTTTAATTATTATTTTTTTATGGCCTCCAATTTTATGGTCTAGGGCCACTTTGGGGTGAAGTTTTTTTTAGCTACAATATCCAAAAAAATCAAAACACCTAATCACATTTTTCTTTTTTGGATTTTAGATCTAAAAATCCAAAATCAAACTTTCTTTCTCCAAAGATTCAGGCGAAAAAAAAACTTTTTCCATATAAGCATACTAGCTCAAAATGTCCAAACTACCCCTATATATATATATATCATATGTCCGGTTATATCAAAATGTTTGCTCTCTCTCTCTCTCTCTCTCTCTCTCGTCTAACCATAGCCTTTCTTTCTTACTCTCGTTCTCATCCTTCTCAGAGTCGCTCTCCCTTCGTCGCGCATATCGGTCTCTCTCATTCCTTTCATCTCACCCATTTCTAACTCTCTCTCTCTCTAGTTGGTTTAGGGTTTTCGATCTCGATGGTTCTACAGCCATCCAAGCACTGGAAACTGCCTCTTCCATCGCCGGTCCTCCATGGCCTTCATGATCCTCCTTCGCAGCTTTCATCTTTGGATCCAAATCTAGATCCGTTATCTCTACCACTGCCAACTATGAGATCTAGATCCAAATCAGAATAGAGTTTTAGAGAGAAAATCCATGACTTTGACCGATCATCTACAGCGTTCACCGACTCCCCAACTCCTCGAACAACAGGCAATGAGGGAGATGTGACACCTCGGTTCTACACTATTGGTTGCAGTCAAGGGAAAGTCACTAATGAGTCCTATGGTCAATAACCAAGTAAGATCCTAGATCGCCAGAGGAGTCAAATTAGCCTCCCTTCTAAGTCCAACTTTCTTAGGCAGCGCACTGCCCTTTTGACAGATCTTAAAAGGTATTGACACAAGGTCTCATAAGCAACGATAAGGTTCTTACGTAGAATATAAATACATAACAATCACAATATATATAACTCAAAAGATGGTTCCATTACATTACATTCCAGAAGAAAGCTTAAGTCTTCAAAGAGTCTTTACAAAACATCCAAAAAGAAACTTCTAATTTTTCTAGGATAGCCAAAAGTCTTCGAAAGTTTCGGGCTCGTCGTCTCCAGCTACGAGTTCTGCTTCGTCACATGGCATGATACACCATGAGTTTTGAATGCCCAGTAACCACACACACACCCTACCCCTTTTTTCCAGTCCAATACACAAACACAATTATAACATCAAGTAATAAAGCATGATACTCAAATAAATAAATAAATGGTTAAGATAGATGTCAGTAAACTAGAAATCTCCCAAAGAGATTTCGTCCTCCCAACCACAAGAATCGGACGCGGATTATTCGGTATTCCCCCTCTTTTGCTGCTTTGTTGCAGAACTAACCTCGGATGCCTACCAACGGTTATGTACCGCGTAGCGCCAACCACAGGGCCTCAAAAGAGACGGCAAAATAGGACCTTGCCCGAATCCCTCCTCACACCAAACCACCTAGGGTCCGAATACAACCGCTCCGTTCAAGGGTTCCGAAAACCACTTGCGCAAGGCTTTAACTTTCAAATAAGGAACACATCCCAACAATCCATATATCACATATTCTCATCTTTTCATTACTCAAGTGCTCGAAAACCCAATACCCTCCCAATTAGGTTTCCCGTTGAATTAAATGTTTTAAATCAAGGTTAGTCTAACTTATAAGACAATAATATCCATATAAGCATGCATTCTTAAGATGAGGAAGGTAAACAACATAACCACAACACATATGATATCATGCCAAGATATGATCATAAGCTAATAAGCAATCTCATGAACTCAAGGGTATAAACATCCACACATAACAAAATTTCCAGATTTAGTATCGTATAAAGATTAAAATGAAAGGTCTATTTTAGATCCTTCACCAGACTTGGTCTTCCTATGGTTCGTAGGGAATTTGATCTAGTTTCTAGAAAATTTTTTGAAAATGGGATTGCTTTTCCAGATTCTAAGTTATTTAGAAAATATTCCAGCGCTGTCCAGATTTTGTCCAAATCCGTCGACCGTTACGAAAATTTGATTTTCTTGCAAACCGCTTAGTGTTTTTCGATGAAACCAATTTTAGTTGAAAGCTAACTCCTCAAGGAAGATTTTGACATGAAATAGAGGTCCAGAATAATTTTCTACATTTTTCTAGAATTTCTGGAAGTGGGCTGCAAAAACAGATTCTAAGGTACTATGCCCAAAACAAGAAGTTTTGTGAGGAAAGGGTTCCACCAAGGGAAAGTTTTCGTTTCTTTTGTGAAGAAAACATGCTAACTAACATATATTTAACTAAGAAAATTTACTTGAAAGAGTGCCCTTGGAAAGTTGAGAGATTGGTATAGAAAAAGATGGTTTTGTGCCAAAATGGAGAAAATACAAGAGAGATGGAATCAATACTCAACCCTTAGCATTTTTAACATAAGAACTCATTAAAAACAGATGTGAAAAAATTGTTTAGAACCCTTATAAACATGTATTGAAAAAAAGAAAATGAAAGAGAAGGTTATGTTTGTGGCTTACTTGCTACTTTGCACAAGAAGGCTCCCTTCTTCCTCCTTCTTCTCCTCCTCTAGACTTCTCTTTCTTGCTCTCCTCCCTCTCTCTAGCCGAATGTGTGTTTGTGGGTGTGGTGTTTGTGCTTTGCCAAGCTAGGAGAGGTTGGTATATATAGAAAATTTTTGATGTAAAATGTCCTAAAAGCCCATTAGTTGGAAATGGATGGAAATGTTAGGATTTTGCTTGGAGTCTAATGGGATAGGAGTAACTAAGGTGCTAAATCATAGGATTAGACATTATTTAGTTGATTTTTAGTTGAAATGTAACTAGTATAGGGAACATCATCCTAGGTCTAGGGTACTAGGTTTTGGTTTTCCTAGAATATCATGATCAAAAATCTTGAAATTTGGCTCCTCTCTTCTTCCTAGGGTGGCTGGCCTTGGGGAAGTGTGATGGAGTTATTATTTTATTAGTTTTGGTCCTAGGGCACACTCTTCAAGGTGTATATATATATATATATCTTACAAGATTGATGCAAGGTACAAGGTACAAGTACTAGTTTTTATATATATATATATATATATATATTACATGATTGATGGTACTTCAAGGTACAGGGTACAAGTACTAGTTTTTGGGTAAGTTTTGAATTTAAATAAAGAGTGAGGGCTTGGAGTTAAATACATGCAACTTATGTAGAATTAAATTAGGTTAGGGAACCTAATTCGGCTAGGGAAATTCCTATTTTGATAAAATAAAAATAGTAATGCTAACCGACAAGATTCGAATTAATTCAAGTAACCGAGGGGCTTTAAGAAAATAATTCAAATATTAGGATTTTTAAAGTGAATACATATTTCAGGGGCTTCACAATTTCTAGATTCATCACCACCATCATCATCATCTTCAACACCTTGAGGCCTCGTTTAGCATGCGAGTGTTTTAGTCTAAAAGTCAAAAAGTTACTAAAAAAATCAAAAAACCTATACATATACCAAAAAGTTAAATATTTTCTTTTCTTTCTATTTTTTGTACATCTTTTCGTAAAAAATCAAAAAATCATTCTAAATATACTAATTTTTTTTATATCATATTTAAAAAAAAAAGATAAAAAATTACTAAAATAGTCTATTCTAAAACAAGGCCAGTGAGTTCACTCGCCTCCAAAATCGACCCCTTAGGTGTCTTCCCCAAGAGCTTCGAAGCTTTCAAACTGTTATTTCCTACCAGGTTTGTGTGTGGTTTATTTACTTTTATTTTTGTTTTTTTTAAAACCTGCATAATCTAGATGTACATTTGTGAAGAAATTTGAAAATTTTTATTTAGAAAAGAAAAAAAATGTATTAATTTTTTAAAGTATTTTTTTATAAAAAATATTTTACTTCTTGAGTTAGGTGGATTTAAAAAAAAACTCAAAAAAAAAAAAATTGAGTTTCAAAAGTTTTTGCTTGATCAAACACCAATTGAGTATTATCTATTTGTATAAATGTGTATCGTGTGTGATGTGTGTTGAACTGAATGTTTGGAGTGAATAGTGGATTGTGATGCATTTGGTATGGACTCAAATCTACAAGGCATCATAGGCTGCACGTACATCATTCCCATTGGTTAGCCTCCGTTGGTGGGGCCATCATAGGGTATTATTGTTAATTTGTCAGACTATCAACCAATCATAAAACTGTTAGGACGTATTTGATTAGAAGTATTATAATATAAGATTAAAATTATTAATTTATTGAATTCATATTCTATTATTTGTGTGATACTCTAAAATATATTTACTTAATCTTTAAAAATAAAAATGTAATTACAATATTTTTTGGGTCATAGTAGAATATAAAGAACTTGCATAGTTTTCAAGAAACCTCCTGAGAAGCATGGTGCCATGTGGTACCACGAGGTTGCTGCATAGTACAACATAGTAAGGGTCGTCTCATCTATAAATAGGCGAGTTGTATAGTAATGAAATTACAAGAATAACAAACGAGGAGAATCTAAGAGAGCAAGTTGAAGTCAGAAGTAAGAGTAAATAATCAATTTTGAGGTGAATTGTATTATATTTTGAACTATCATAAACTATTTTATGTAAAATTTGTTTTGCAAATTATATTAGTTTTAAAGTATATTATTTGTTAAATGAACCCTATTTGCTTATAAAAGGAAACTCATGGATAAAGCTGTTTATTAAATATGTTTGTGAACAATTATTTTGTAAGTATCACCATGGAAGTCTCATGCCTTGGGAGATTTAAACAA